CCCCAAAACCCCAAAACCCCAAAACCCCAAAACCCCAAAACCCCTTTTGAGGGAATTAGTTGAAGAGAGTAATAATTATTTATTCAGATGAACTCCAGTAGCGAAACTAAGGTTCTAACAAAGCCTAAAAATACACTGAAGAAAGACAAAAAGTTTCAGACTGGAAGATGGACTGAAAAGGAGCACTACCTCTTCCTTCTAGCTGTCAAAAAACATGGAAAAGACTGGAAGAAGATAGAGGGTTTTGTTAAAACAAGGTCTAGCACTCAATCCAGGTCTCATGCTCAGAAAGTCTTGAAAGACGATTTAATGAACAACCTTGAAAATGAAATAGCTCGCCTAGCCTTGATTTATGAAGATAATGCTTCTGCACAACTTAGACCAGAATTTTCTGGCTCCTCCCAGGAGAATTCTCAAACTCTCCAGGGTGGTCCAAAGACAAAAAGAAAAGCTAAAAGGGTTTATAAAGAAGCCATTAAGAAAATAGGAAATGAAAACATCGTCCAACTCTCCAACATGAGCTCAGAAAATAATGATGACGAGTCAAAGCAAGACCAAATCGATGACGACTCTTATGAAGAATCTGAGTACTCATATCCTGACGATTACCAAACGAAGTTGTTCGAAATTGAAAAAGTAAAAATGAAGACTTCTAAAAGGAAAAGGAAAGCAACCAAGAAGAGATGAGTGGCTATGCCCAGCAAGGTCTTGGCTAATGCAAGAAAAGACTCTATGCTAACTTCTGCTAGCGCTAATCAATCCACTACACTCTCCCCTGTTAAGACATCATCAACGGAGTCACTAACTCCTAACCTAAGGGGTTGAGGAGGTGGAGAATTTAGAGTCTCTCCTTTTAACCAAATGAGCAGCTCTGCTTCAAACAAAAATGGAGGACTCGACGAGAGCAAACCCGTTCCTCAAAATGGAATGGTTCCTCCTAATGTCAATCAAAACTTAAGAAGAGCTACTTCTACCAAAATTGAGGTGTGACCACCAAGCTCAAGCTATATTGGCAGTCCATTTGCTCGGAATGACCAGCTTATGTTCTTGTTATCGACTGAAAAAAAGCCTGAGTTTTGTAAGCCCCCGATGAAGAAGAGGCTTACGATGGAGGTAGACAATTTTAACTCTCTCCTTTTTGAGGATTGATTTCTCGATGGAGACTATCCTTGCTCACCAAAACACATGAAAATTTCGGAAAATTCTCATGATTCTTGGGAAGACTCTCATGCAGAGAGTTTATTATTCGGCGACTCTAATTTCCCTCTATTTGACCAATATTAGAGGGCACCATCTTGTCTAACAAGTTAATTAAGCGAATTCACTTTCAAATTTACTAAAGGGAATAGGGGTTTTGGGGTTTTGGGGTTTTGGGGTTTTGGGGTTTTGGGGTTTTGGGG